CCGAGTACGAGGAGCCCAGTATTTTGAAAAGAAAAAATAAATAGAAAATTATACTTTGAAGTACTGAAAGAATGACTTTCTTCTGTGAAAACTTAAACATGTTCACTACATATCTATAAATTTCATTGAATAGTATGCTAATTTGTAAGCTACGCAAAAAGCAAATTTCCAACCTGAAAGCAAACAAAAATAAGAACGCTTTGATGTACTTATTTGTCTATTTTGTTTACGTCACGTATGTAAATATATCATTATGAAATTTTGCACATACATAATATACATGTATTTCTGGATGCGCACCTTTTTGTTTGCTCCTTGGAAATACAGTTATTGAGAAGAAAAAAGGGCTACTTGAAGCCCATCCACCAAAAAGGCATTAGCGGCTATTTGGTTCTCTATTAACTTTTTTTTTCACAAGCAGTACATATACCTTTTTCTTTCTTGTGCTTTTTTCAATTATAAAACGGTATGCAAGTCGATGAGCCTAAATTCACACCTGTGAGACACGTGTTTTTTTGCAACGGCCTCTCGTGTAAATGTGATAATCTATCATGTTACAATGTCTAATCAGGCATGTAGATGTTTTTTTCTGGGAATGTGGAGGTTTTTATAGTGTTTTTTTTACTACTCTTTTTTTTGTGATGGGACTTTTTGTGCTACTCACTCATAGAGAGAATAATCTGCATGTGTGTCCTCATACGTAGAGTTGACTGCCAATATCAACGCTGACAAACTGAAACCACTGGAAATATTATGAAATATGTCCAGGACGGCCGTCGAACCGGGACAAATGGTTCCACACGAACCGGGACCAATGACCACGAGGCCCCGGCCGCCCCCCTGGGCTCACGAACCGGGTCTAATACCCCCCATTGGTCCCGGTTCTTGAAGAAACGGGACTAATGGGCTGGCCAGGACCGAACGGTAGCCCTGTTTTCTACTAGTGTATGAGTGGGAGGAACACACCTTTGATGTGCTCTATGACGGTTTGAATGCGCTCTGGAGTGATGGCACGACACACAGACGGGGTACCATCACCACCATGTGCACTGGTGTGGCCACCTGACTCCTTCTCGACGTCATTAGTGGTGTCTATGTTAGCTTGACAGAGTACACTATGGTTGGGTCGCCAGAGCTATTGGTCGTCGTGCTCTTGTTGATGTTGCTAATGGCATCCAATCCCTTGGGGGAACGTCTCGCAGATGGGCACGAGGATAGAGCTAGTGCCCGTGGAGACCAGGGGAGTCGATGTGGCCACCACAATGGATAACTCAAAGTTTGATGATGGCAGTGGCATTCCTCAAGTCACTGTGGGGTGATTGTTTGTACAGAAATGGTTATCATGTATGCTAGCTCCATAAGGATTTAGAGCTCAATCCATTAAATAAAAAGAAGAGGGTTGCACCGTTAATTAACGTTTTTTTTAAAAAGGAGGAAAACCCCCGGCCTCAGCATCAATCGATGCATGCAACCATATTATTAAATGATGGGATTGGTAATCCTCAAGCCAATTTGGGATGATTGTTTGTATGGAACTGGCCATCGTGTCCACCAGCTCAACATGGCTTCTTTCAAGTAAAAACAAAAAGCCTTATTTTCCCTTTTTATTGTATATTCATTGTTGTGACCTCCTCCAATTTTTGTATTATATGGTCACAATCCTGGACAGGGCGTTTTGGCTCCCGGACTCAGATGACCCCAGGAGTGAACAATTAATTCACAAAACATACCAAAAAATTCAAAAAATCCCAATTTTTTTTTGTGGTGAAATATGCGTGAGTTTGTGATGTCCGTGCAAAAATTCAGCGCATTTGAACGTTTGACGAGCTCTTACCAAAAAAGACAAATTTTGTATCTGTGAAAAAGTTTACTATTTTGCACTGTTCGGAGCTGTTTTTTTTACTGGGGCTACTCAAATGTGAGCTGAAACTTGGCACGAGCATCACACACTCAACCATCTTTCACCACAATTTTTTTTATTTTGTTGATTTTTTAATATTTTATTTTAATTTACTGTTCACAGGGTGTATACGAGCTCGGGAGTCGAATTGGGTATTCACACAATCCTATCCTACCCAACCAACCCTCTTGAAGGAAGCTCGAAACTTGCTCTTGTAATAGTTTTAAGAAATATATTCATATGAAGATACTGTCAACCTAGAAAACCCTTTTAAAGGCAAACATTTCAACACAGTGAGTTGGCAAGATGGACTTCCCTCCATTCAAAAAGAAGTATGCAAGATGTTGGGATCGAAACCCCCACAATCAACACATAGGCAGACCGACTAGACTAGGAAAATGGTGAAAAAGTTTGACAGATCTAATGGTGAAAAAGTCTGCGTTAAGGCTCCCCACTACTGCCTGCAATATAGATGGGTGGATTCCCACTACTGCCTGCAATATAGATGAAGAGGGGAAGTAAACACATTTCAAGATTCTCGAGCTCAATATTTCGGGATTTTGCAAAATACACCTAGCACGCCTGGCCAACAGAGCAAGATTAAAAAGCTCAAAATCATTAAAACCTAGGCCACCCATTTCTTTTGGTTGTGTCATCAATTCCCAGGATACCCGTCTTGGCTTCCTTTGTCCATCCTTACTGCTCCACCAAAACTTCCTGATCAACATATTAAGATGTTCGATCGTGGTTTTTCTACAATTGTATTTTCCACACCTATTCCTTTGTCATTTGGTATAATAATTTCCCATATAAAGAAAGAAAAAGATTCAAAGAAAGGATGGGAGATGTTTCCTATGTCAAATCAAAATATAGAGGTGAAAGATACCATAACAATGTGTATCATGCTCCATGTTTCCTTGTAGTTGGATCTCCTACTTTTGGGAATGTTCCATATTCCACTTGAGCATCCAAATCAGGATCAATACCAGCAAAAACATCTCAGAACAATGTTCTAGCGCCACAACAAATGTGTTTGAAAATGAAGAGCAAAGCAAAAGTAGCATGACGGATAGTGAACCAACATCTTGGACTGCTGCGAAAACACCATTAGATTTCAAAGTAGCCCGGCCTAATTCAAAAGTTTCCCCTGATTGAGAATGCCTCACATATTTTCTTACAGTAGCAGGATCGAAATAACTTACTTGATTAAGTTCGCTACCATAGAACTCCGCCGTCACACCTACTTGTTCAACACTATATTTGGGTCCTGCTCTTCTAAAAGGAACGTCCACTCTAACAATTCCCTCCTCGTATACCAAAACTACCGGAAATGGTTGAAAAAAAGTAGGCATAGGAGAAAATAAAAAATGCCCACTCCTTGCCCGCACCGCCCTACAACCAATCCCCCCCCCCCCAATGCATGCTTTGGGCTGACCCAGTGCGAGGCATGGGTCACCATATTGTTTTTCAATTCCTTCATTTCTTTTTTCAGTTTTTCTATTTTTGTTATTTTTTCATTTCCCTTCATATATGTTTTTCTTGTTCATCTTTCAGAAAAAATGATAAAATTTCTAGAATCCGATTTTATTTTCATGAATATGGAAAATATTTGGGAATTATAAAAATATTAGGAGATTTTCAAAAAATCTTCTCAAAACTTTTAAAAATGAATAATAATTTTTTAAATGTTCCCAAATTGTAATAATGTTACAGGGTCCAAAAATATTCTCAATTTTCCCAAATTTCCCCTATTATTTTTTCTCATATATTTAGAAACTTACTTGAATTTGAAAAATTATTCAAAACTTAAAAAATGTTCGTAAATTGTAAAAAACATCCTGGAATTAAAAATATTCCTTAATTTCAAAAAGTGCACTTGAATTAAAAATTGTTAAGTAATTATAAAAATATTTGCTGAATTTTTAAAATGGCCCCGTATATTAAAAAATGTTTCATCTATCGGCCCCACAGAGTGAGGCCGCAATGATGTAAAATGGCGCGTGTGTGTGCGTGCGCGTGTGTGTGTGCGCGTGCGTGCGTGTCCGCGTGCGCGTG